TCTGCCTGAAGGCTGTAGATGAAGTAGGTAACTGTCTGTCTTTTCAGTTCCTCCCAAGACTCTATGATGATATTTGATTTTTACATAAACCTTAACAACTCCAAAAGTATTTTGTAAAAGTCCACATAGGTATAATTTATTACTTTGGAAGTGAATTAGTTGTCAGCAACCAGTGACTGGCAATGGCTTTATCTTTCTGGACTGATTAGAGACATTTCTATAGCTCACCTTCACTCATTTCTTTGGTGGAGATAGCTTTCATCTTAGCTCCAAACTTTCAGGTACATTTGGAGTCAAAATCTTTTGAGAGAACGTTGCCCTCCACTGCCAGAGCTGGCTGATTGCTCCCTCAGCCACATTTAACGTGTTTGCCTTCTCCGGCATTTGCTCTTGATTTCTCCTTTGAAAGTGGCAAGAGCAGAAATCATGATTATCATGTAAGAGGGCTACTGACCAGAATGACAAATCCCGATGCATGCATGATCTTTTCTCAGAATTGCCAGACTCATTTTGCATTTTTCTGAGAAGACAAAATTGACTTTCTTTCCCTCCTGACTTCTTCTGAAATCTCTTTCATTAACTAGAATTTTCACCTGCTGGTATCTTCAACCATTGCAGAGTGCCTCTCAGATAGAATACAGAGTGCCAACGGTTCATCTTAAGAAAGAAATACGTTGGCTGCAAGAGTTAGTTTCTCTGATGAACCACCACTTAATAGAAAACTCAAACATTTGAGAGCACAATTTAGCAGATATTTGAGCTGCAGCAACTTCGTTTGTCCCCTGCTGGGATGTCACTTCCCACAAAGGGACAAAGTTGCTGCAGCTCAAATACCTGCTAAATCGTGCTCTCAAATTTTTGGAAAGGCTTGTGAGGTGGATGGCAAGAATACCAGGTGCACACTAAGGAGAGAGAAGGAGGAGGAAAATCCTGGGCGGCTGGGACCTCTGGGGCACAGTGTGATTACCCCCGGGCTGCCAGGAGTCTGCTCACTACCACGTGCCTGAAAAACAAGTCCTTTGCTTACTTTTTGTTTGATGCATCTGGAGAGAATACTTTTTTTTTGCTCTGAGTGAATGCTTAGCTTTTAAAGAAGCTGTTTTGGAGAGTCACTTATTCTTACTTATGTGTGTCAGGTCACTTAAAAATGTACTTGCCTCAGTGGTTATGAAAATAAACAAGTCACATGAGTAAGCCCCCTGCCCCCTCACCAAACGGAGTACCCCCCTCCTGGTGACGATTTTCAGTTCTTCTGGCTGCTCATCCTGCTGCTTACTTAGCGCTGCATTTCTAAATGCTGTGTTTGTGCTGCTGTTACTTGATTTGCCAATTGCAGAGGTTATGTCTTGCCTTCTTTCTACAGATGATGAGGTGCTAGAATAGCATCTGTGCCCCGTCTACTGTATTTCGCTTCCTCATATAGTTAATCGAAGATCAGGGTTAAATTAATAATTACAATCTTTGTACTCTAATGCCACATAGCATCTTAAGTAGTGGCTAACAGAGATCGGGTGCTTTCTAGGTGCAAGACCCTGTTTAGGAGTTTTAGACACATTAACCTTGTCGAGAAGGGGCAATTGTTTGTTCCATTTTGCAGAGGTGGACCGCGAGACGCAGGCAGGCTAACTAACGCTTGGCAGCACCTCGGTGGTGGCTGATGGAGCCATCCTTCATCAAAGTGTGTGGCTTTTCACCACTGTGCTCTTGAAATTGCTGTGGCTTTGGAAATGCCATTGGACGGGGATTTGCCATAGGCTGTCCCTTCTTTTTCTCTTTCATTTCATTTATTATCTTTTCTTTCTTTCTCACCATCATTCTATGTTTTTTTTTTTTCTTTTGGAAGCCTTATTCACTGAAAGTTGTGTGTTGTGATTAATCATCTCATTTCCTGACCTGTCGTTACCTCTTGGCCTCTGTTCTGGGTCATGGCCTCAACTTTTTGACTCTGTGGGGTTTTAAATCCTGAGAACAACTCCTTGGTTGTTTACTTTTCAGTGCCCTCGTCCTGATGGTGCATCTTGCTCCTGCCTTGCCTAGTAGTGTCTTCCCACTTTCCCCCAGAGTCAGGAGCTCTGTGGCCTTCAGCCCACACGCTCGGGGGCTCTGAATGGCAAGGGGCACGTGCAGGTCATCAGGCTCATGTGTTGGGGGCCTCACCACCTGTTATCCAGGGCCCTGCAAGGCTGTTCCCTCCAAAGAGCCCCCCTTGTCTTTCCCCATGGGCAGGTTACATTATCCAGAAGAGAATCTTTCAGACTTGTTCTCAGTCTTGTGGGAGCCAGGTTTGGGGCAGGGACGGCAGGTGTTGACTTTCATTCAAGTCTTGCATTTCAGGTTACCATTTAGTGTTGCACCCTTGTCACCCCGGAACTGACCTCCCTATCTGTGTCCTGGATTCCTGAGGGCTGCTTGTCGAGGCCCTCTGGCAAGAAAGCCTCTCCTCTCCTGCCCTGCCAGGGCTGGCCTGGCCACATGCTGAGTGGGGAGAAGGTCAGAAGGGGTCTCTGCATTTGTGGGATCCACGGCATGACTTCCTCCACCTGTCTGAGGCCTGCGTGCCAGCTGGCTTGTCTTCTCTCGGCTTTGCCCTTTGAGAGTTTCAAGTTTCTTTGTTCTAAAAGATCAGTAATGGCTTGCTGACTCAATTTCCATTTTCTAGAAGACTTGGGCATGTTTTTGTTATTGCTGTCTCCTCTCCTTGCCTCTATGTCCTTGTGGAATTTTTGCTGCTTTCCTTACATTGTGACTTGGGAAGGGAACTAAGAGATCCAGCATGTTCTCGGCCATGCGTGATGGAGCCTGACGCTGCTGCAGATACCTTTGTCTCCTGCATTTTTCTGATTACCGGGTCCCCTGGGGATGGTTTCTACATGACTGGGGGTGGGTTCCCCTTTCTTCCTGCTTGAACTTCCCTGGCGCATCCCTGTTTCCCTGCGCTCCAGGATTGTAAGTCTGGGGAGAGCTGTCAGCTCTTTTCCTATCTTTGACTGCAAATAAAGGGATTAAGAGTCAGGCTTCAGGAACTAGATCTGACTTTCAGGGAAACTCATGTTCAGCAGGCTTCTCTTGGCCTTTTCCTTTCAGCGGTCTTCTCTGGAAACCTTTCTGCATCACACTGAGGTGCACATGTCAGTCAGCGGACTGTCTCTTAGAAACACGGGTAAGGCTTTGGGGAGGAAATTCTGACAGTGAATGTTCTCTCCCTCGCTAATCGGAAGCCTCAACTGCTCTAGGCCCCAGGGCCTTGCTGGACACCTCGGCGGCGGGCTGTTCCGAGCCTTAGATTCAGCTGGGCTAGAAGGAAGCTTCTGAATGAGTCCGTGGTGGGGGTCAGCTGCATCATTTTTGGGAAGGTTCCCACTCGCCTCTCTTTGCAGAGGGCAGATGTAGCATCGGATCGAGGAGGCACCCCTTCTACAAGGAATGCCCGCCGGATGATGGCGATGCCCAGACAAGATCGCAAGCATCTCAGGGAAGCCTTGTTGAGAGTCCCAGTCCTTGGGCTTGCCCTGGGCAGTGCCGTCGTCAGCAGGCTGACCACAGACGCAGGAGCTATGTGCGCTCCAACCATAACAGACAGTGCTGGAGGGGGTGGCCCATGGAATTGAGGACAGAAATGTCTGGAGATTAGTTGGCTATGTTGGAATGCTGGGTTAAAAATAACAAGATATTTCAAAGAGATGGATGTCAAATCTTCTTTGGGAGTTAAAAAAATCAATGGTAATTCCGAGAGGGAAAAAAAAAAAAAAAACCTACTGGCAGTAGTTCTGGTGGAGAAAAGACATTGGGTTGTGTTTGACAAAGAGCTCAATATAAGCTGCTAAATAGGTTGGGGCCACTAAAAACTGCATTAGTGGAACCACATGAGTTGACTGCAGAAGGCAACAGCCCCGCCACGGCTAGACGTGCCTGGGACCTGTGTCTGCTCCATCTTGTCAGACACACTAGAGCTTGCCAGAGAAGGGCGATTAGCCAGGGTTCCGAGGGTCTGGATGCTTGTCTCAGGGGAAACCCTTGATGAAATTGGGAATATTTAGGTGGAGGAGAAAATGGCCTTCTGCTCATCAGCTGCAAAACCTCAGCCAAGTAGCTGCCTGTGCCTCCGTGGAGTGGGGAAGAGAGAGCACGTCTGCGCGCTAGGGGGAGAGCATGCGAAGTCCTGGCTGATGGGACCAGAAGGTAGCAGGTGCGGGTGAGACTGTGAACATCTTTGTATTTCAGGATGAGGAATGTGAAGTTTATCTTGTAGTTCAGGAAAATTATATGGCCACCTTATCTGTTGTCTTCTAAGCCTGGATATTGAGAATGAGTGTTGGGGCGGGGGGCGGCTTCTTAAATGCATGAGAACAAGAGTAAAATAGGACAAGAATAGAACAAGAGCAAAATAGGACAGTTGCAGGCAACATGGGCGAGCAGGAGGAAGACCATCCTGTGACTGCTTTGGGGGTGACAGTGCCCCACTTGTGGAGGCATTTAGGCAGGACCCTGGTGCCCTTCTGTGATGGAGCAGTATTTCGGCTTTGCATGGAAATGATCTTAAAAGTGCTTATTGACTTCTGCTGCTGTGCTGCTGGGAGCAGGCAGTGTATGAAGCAAGTTAAATAGAAACCATCCTGATCTTCCAATTATTTCGATGTGTATATTTGGCAAAAAGACAGCAGTGAAAGAACTCTGACCCTTTCTCACCCAGAAAAGTTCTTATGGAATTCTGAGAGCAATTTAAAGTGTGAGCCTGGTCCTCACCTGGAACAATAATCCCAGCGGGCTTGGGGAGCTGACTGAACACACTGTGCCTGGGGCGCCTCCCTGGACCTGGGTGTGGTTGGGGGGTGCGAAGAAACAGCCTCTGTTCTAGAGCGGGGAGAGCAGCGAACACCATTTATTAGGTGTCCGCTGGGTCTATGATAGGAGTTGATCAAAGGCAGCCTGGGAGCCACCGCTGGGTGCCCTTTGAAGCTTGACATCAGCGTGACCGCGAAGTGCAAACCGAGCAAATGCCAGAGCGGGGAGAAGGCCTGCTGCTGGTCTAGAGCTCTGGGTTTCAGGCCACACGACTCTGTCCCTGCTGGTTTCAGTTCCGCAGTTCACTGGGATTATGGTTCCAGGTGAGGAACAGATCACACTCTAAATCGCTGTCAGCCAAATGTCTCCACTGGGGCGGAGGCCTCCCTGGGAGCTGGGGGTGGGCAGGTGCAAGCTGGGGTGCTGGCAGTTCACACAGAGGGGAAGAACAGCTCCCTCCGCTGGGCAGGCAGCCCAGACTAACCTGCAGAGGAGACGTCCATGTCAGGAGCAGCCCTTCCTGCATCTTCCCTGCTGACCATTGATGCCCCTGACTGTGCTTAATACCACGTGAAGAGCAGCTTCCCCTGGTCCGGGGTGTCACGGGAAGGAGAACCTCTCGGTCTTCATTTTCTTACGGAAAGTGACTCTTCTGAGGAAGAAGGAACAGGGCACAGTGGACCTTTCTAGTACTGAGTGACCACAGAGTAGGATTCGGTGCTTCTGGTGCTTCGAACAGAAGGATTTTACCTTGGAGCCAAGAAACAATTGCAGAAAAGAAATTAGAAAAAAAAATTGGTTAAAAGTGCTAAAGAAAAAACAATTTCCTGTGGAGGGTAAGGCCATATTTCCAAACTTATTACAATGTGGTTGTCATTTCAAAAGGCTAAAAAAAAGCCATTTTTTTCACGTGAAACCTGAATGTACCTCAACAGCCACAGACCTGGGGAAAGGTTTAAGAGCTGCATCCATCCCACGATTACTAATGGATGAGAAGTTGAATCCCAAAGGGGTTGAAGTTTATTCCCGCATCTCACACTCGTTGCAGCCGGACTTGGTTCATAAGGAAGCGAGGTCATTGCCGCCCTGGGCACCTGAGCAAGAACCTAAAACCTGAGACAAGAAGTGAAAATCATAAAAGGAATTGAAAACCAAGAAAAATATGAGTGTTTCCATCACAAACTTTCCTTGGGATGCCTTCAGACGTGGGTCCTGCTGTGCTTGGGGAGCACATCAGCCAAGGGATGGTGCCAGTGAGGTCGGAGCCGTCAGGATTTACCTCCTGACTCAGGAGCTAGAAGCTCTTTAAACTCTTGCTTCTGGATTGTGCCCAAGAGCCCTGAGCTAAGTTTGAGCTAACAGACCTGCTTCCCCTGTGCCAGGATGCCCGTCCTGGCCTGCCTTCGCTTTTGTTTTTTTGCCTACTTGCTTTGCAGTGATGCAGGCAGCATCCCTGACCCTTCCAGACCTGTATTACGACTTCCATACAACATGTGTAGGGGCAGTGGGCAGTAAGAGCTAGGGACAAGTAATTTTTACCAGTTCTTTATTTTTTTTTAATTTTTGTATTATTGATTGATTGATTTATACAGAACTGGGGTACAGGCCAGATGCACGGGAGGATAAGAAGATTCACCAGAGACAGAGCGGGGAACAGAACAGGCAGACTGATGAAACACACTGCTGAGGGGAGCAGTGGGTGCAACAGGAGAGGTCTGCCACACCATGTGGGACCCTCGCTGGCCCGCCAGGATCAAACCAGTGCTGCAGAGGCTGCGGACAGCTTCACAGCGATGCACTCAACCGCCTGCGCCACAGGGGAGGCCCAGTTCTCTTTTTTTCAATTTCACCACATTTTTGAAGTGTGACACTGTACAAAAAAAATTGTACATAATGTATCCAACTTGATGAGTTTGCACAAATATACATCAACATAATTAATGTGGTCACATATCCATCAGTTTCAAATCACTCTTCCTGCCCTCCTTATTGTGACTATGGCTATGATTATGATTAGAAGACCTAACATAAGATCAACACTTGGCAAAATTTTAAATGTGCAGTGCAGCCTTGTTAACTATAGGCACTGTGATGTATAGTCAATCTCTAGCATTAATTCATCTTACATATCTGAAAATTTATATCCTTTCTTTGTTATTTGGGTCTATTCTTTTTCTTTTTTTATTGAGGTAATATTGATTTACAACATTTTGTGATTTAGAAGTGTGGGATCTCCCCACTCAGGTGTTGTTATACCGTACCCCATCAAGACATCCACAGTTCTCTACTGGGGCCCATTGTGCTACCTCCCCACCTTGCTCTTGCCTCTCACCCTCCACCCCACAATATCCCTAGTAGCTTCAGTTCTATAGTCAGCTTTCTAAGGTTAGTTCTTCGTTTGGCTTTATCTGACCTTTTGTCTAGTTTCTTTGTATTCCACATGTGACACCATCCAGTATATGAAATTCTCCTTTTGACTTGTTTTGCTTAGCATAATCCCCTCTAGCTCTATCCATGTTGCTGCAAATGGCAAGAGCTTATGTATTTTGATAGCTGAATTATGTATACATACCACGTCTTCCATTATGTATACATACCACGTCTTCTTGATTTGCTTACCAGTGTTTGGACACTTAGGTGGTTTACATAGCTTGACTATGTAAATAATGCTGCAGTGAACATTGGAGTGCAAGTTTCCCTTCGAATTAGTATTCTTTGGGTAGATACCCAGGAGTGGAATTGCTCTGTCATATGGCAGATACAGTTTTAATCTTTTGAGAACCTCCATATTGTTTTCTATAAGGGGCTAGACCAGTTTACATTCTCACCAGCAGTGTAAGAGAGTTCCTTTTTTCTCCACATCCTCACCAGCACTTAAAAAAAAATATCACTTTATCTAGGTATCATCAACAACACAAAACTGTACGTATTTCATATGTGCAGCTAGTTTTCAGCAGTTTTTTTTTTAAGATTTATTTTTGTTTGATTATGCATAGAAGAGCTGGGGTGTAGGCGAGAGTGCAGGGGGTGAGAGGATTCATCAGACACAGAGTGGGGAGCAGAACAGGCGGATCTACTGAAATACACTGCTGAGGGCAGCAGCGGGTGAGACAGGAGAAGTCTGCTACGCCATGTGGGTAGCTCCCTGGCTGGGGATTGAACTCAGGCCACAGTGGTGATAGTGCTGAGACTTAACCCCTCTACCACCAGAGAGACTCAGTTTTCAGCAGGTCTTAAGGGAAAGTCCTGCATTGCTGTGCTTGATTGGTTTGATTCTCCCTGTCATTTGATTTCTGACAATATTCTGGATTCCTTCACATTAGGAATTGCTTGATAAAACGTACTCAAAAAGTTGGAAGAAACACTTGATAGCAGGTGTAGGTGCCAAAAGACTTTAACTCAGCTGTATTAATTTAAATTTATTTGTGTAACTCAGTTTGTATTAACTCTTTTACATCTTAAAGCTATCTAGAAAAATAACGACATCATTCTCTGTATTTTGAAAATGAAGGAATTGAGGCTTGTAGACGTTGAAGGTGCAATGCCCAAGTTGACGGAGCTTGGATTTTTGTTTTGTTTTTTCTTATCTGGCCTTTCTGAATCCAAACATACATGTTCATATTCTCTCTCTCTCTCTCTCTCTCTCTCTCTCTCTCTCTCTCTCTCTCTAGTTCAACCACTCTGCTTGGAAAAAAAATTAATGAGTGATTGATTCCCCTAAATCTTTAAAGGAAATGTCAGGACTTTAGTGTATACTCCTAATTTCCAATAATTACAGAACAAGGCTCATCATAATCTTTTTCTCGATGACGGAGTATAAGTAATCACTGGCCTGAGCTACAAGATGCAGGCCTTTTGGACTGGATGAATTATTTTCTGGGAACAGAGAGAACAGAGAACAGAGAAACGATTGAATCACTATTTAGACCCTTTGAAGAATCGTGGATAATAAATGCGACAGGACTGGAAAACTGAGATAAACATTTCCTAGGTTTTAAAAATTGTAGACGAAAGCGTCTGACACCACTTCCATAAAACATCCTTGCGCAGGTTAGGAAACAGACAATTTGCAAGGTGTCGGACAGGAAAAGGAGTGATCCCGAAATGCAAACACTGGCTCACTGAGAATGTCTTTCCAAGTAGCATCATTTTCTTTTCAGGAAATTTAAAGTTGCAAAGCCTTAAGTGGCATAAATGCAGCAGATAAGGTGTGTCCCAGGTTCAGAAAGACCTTCAACGAGCGTCGAGCGTCGTGCCAGGTCACTTCACACCCAGCGCTCCCTGGACGAGGGGTAAATACATGCCGTGTAACAGGGTGGTCAGCTCTCATTGCCTCCATTCCAGGGCCTTCACACCCAGTGCTTCGCAGGCAGGGAGACAGTTGACAGTGGTCATCTGGGGTTTATAGGAAGGAGTACAAGTGTCTTGTCCTTACCTTGCCACACACAGAGAGGCATGTAGTCAGTGCATTGTGTCCCTATTTGAGACTTTTTCTCAGCAGTTTAAATGAGAATAAAGAGAACATTTTAGGTGATCTGAAGTTGGGATCCTGATGAATGCTGTGGATGAGATGATAACGCTTCAAACAGTCATGAGTGGTTTTTCAGAGATCATTCTTTGTCATTCATTGAACAATGCTAGGTCCTGGCTGCTAAGAATTGGATTAGGTGCTGGGATTAGGAAATATACAGGCTGTAGGAGGGAGAACACGAAGCAGGCAGTTACCTGGAACAGTGCTGTGAGGGAGGAAAGCCCAGGCTGCTTGTGGAACATGGAAGAAATGAGCCCCATGAAGTTTGGGGTTCATGAGGCTGGGGGAGCTACCTGACCAAGCAAGGCCTCCTGGAGAAGGTGATATTGGAGGAGTGTTGAGGAGTGAGGAGGAGTGGACTGTGTCGTCAGTGTTGCTGGGGGGTGGGGTGCTCCCTGTGCAGGAGCAGCACACGGTGGGGTGGGGGTGGTGGTGACCGGCGCTGGGGGGCTGGGTATGAGACATCACGGAAAACTGGTCACAGTGCTAAGCAATAGAGGGGCATGGCGACAGAGAGATGTGTTGCAGATATTCCTCACTTCTTTATTCCCTGCTGCTGGACCGGAGGATGTGAGAGAGACCACAGGGATGCTCTGCAGAGGAACAGCTGTGACACGAGGGGGTGCTGTCTTATCTTAGGGGACCCGCAGCACTTTACAAGCATATTTGATCATGAGAATCATCCTGCTCTTGTTAAAACAGTCTCCCAGCCCACTCCCTCAATCAGATTTCACTTATTTTAGGGTGGGGAAATGCAAGAATCTGTATTTTCTTTTTCCTTTTTTTTTTTGTTTTAAAGATTTATTTATTTATGCATACAAGAACTGGGGTGTAAGCCAGAGGTGGGGGTGGTGGTGAGAGGATTCACAAGAGACAGAGTGGGGAGTAGAAAAAACAGGCAGATGTACTGAAATAAACTGCTGAGGGGAGCAGCGGGGAGGCAGGAGAGGTCTGCCGCGCCATGTGGGTAGCTCCCTGACTGGGTGGGAATTGAACTCATGCTGCAGAGGCTGCGATAGCCTGATAGTGCTGTCTTTGACCCCTGCACCACCAGGGAGGCCCAGGAGTCTGTATTTTCAAGAAGAACCCTAGTTAAGTTTGGCTATTACTGTTGTAGACAATGGTGAACTGTTAAGGATTTAATAAGGGAAGGAACGTGGGCCTGTTGGCATGAAGGTGGGTTGTTCTGGCAGCAGTTGAAGGACTTATTTGAGAGGGATAAATACTTTTGATAATCTAAGCCCAAAATAATGAAAATAATCACCTAGTAAAAGTCCGTAATGGTAGACAGCTTAGACTGTCTTGAGAGAGACTGAAGTAAAGCTCACTGGACTTGGTCACTGCAGGGATGCAGAGGATGAGGGATGAGGGAGAACCAGTTTGGGGACTGAGGCTCCACGCGGAGCCGGTCACTGAGACAGAAGGCCCAGAGGGACAATTCTGCCTTGTCCAGTTGAGTCCACGCTGCCTGGGAGCCACACAGGTGGAGATGCCCTGGAGATGCCTGGAGTCTGGGAGGGAAGCTTGACTGGCATAAAGCTTGGAGGACGACCGTGCCCTGAGGCAGGTAAAATCCTGGTAATAACCGGAGTTGCTGGGGGAGAGTGTTTAAAGGCAGAAGAACAGAAACACAAAACAGAGCTCTGAAACATTCTATCAAAGAGAGCAGGTGAGTTATTTGGAGGAGCTGGAGTTGAATAGTGCTGTGATGGAGAAAGGCCCAGGCTGCTGGTGGAGCATGGAAGAAATGAACCCCATGAAATTTGGGGGTTCATGAGACTGGGGGAGCTACCTAGCCAAGCAAGGCCTCCTGGAGAAGGTGATATTGGGAGAGTGTTGAGGAGTGAGGGGAATGGAGAGGGAGATGCATTAGGGAGCAGGAGAAGGTGGTGGAGTTTCAGGAGACCGAGTGGCAACCTGGAAGGCAGGCTCGGGGTCCAGGTGGCAACTCATGGTCACTGGTGATTTGTCTCTTTGTGGACAGCGCCCTGGCGTTGGACATACGTTGACTCATTGAATCATCACAATAACCAGGTGTCTCCCCGAGATCAAGGTGGAAGCTGAGGCAACAGAGAGGCGGGCGGGCGGAAGGCACAGAGCTGGCAAGGTTTGAGCATGAGGATGCGTCCCTGGAGCTCTGCTAGTTAAGCGGCACAACCACTTGTTCGGAGTTAAAAAGCGTCCCCTGAACTCAACACAGGACCGTCTTATAGTCGAGCTCTGCCGTGGTGCAGGAGGAGCCGTGCACAGGGGGCTGAGTGCACAGCCGGAGAACAGGCAGGGAGGGAGGCGACTTTCCAAAACGGCAGATGAGTGGGCAGCACCCAGAGGGCAACGTGGGGCTCAAGGGGCTTATTTTAGGGTAGGACATTGCGCGTGGGTGTGCTGAGGGGAGAGAGCTCGTAGAGAAAAGGAGACTGAGGACATTTTGGTGAAGATCACTGAGTGTTCTCACCACGACACGGTCCAAAGAAGGAAGAAGAAGCAGGAAATGGTGTCTGTGTGAGCTGATGGCTGCTAGCTGGCTTGATGGTGGCCGTGACCTCATGTATGTACATCAGGTGTCAAGCTGAGCACCTTAAATACGTGTGATTTTCGTCAGTTATGCCTCGGCAAAGCTGGGTATCCCTGAGGTGCCTCTGATGGGGTCCAGAACAGGGCATTGCCTGGTGGAGGGGGAATGCCACTCCTCTAAGCTGGAGGGAAGGTGGGGCCTGAGGAGGGGAGAATCCTGTTTAGAGCAGGACTCAAGATCACTGGGTGTGTTACAGGGCAGCCCCGATATTGAACGGGTTCCTGGCTGTGGGTCCTCACCCGCGCACTTACAAGGGACTTATGAATACTCCACTGCAGGGACACACAAAAGGCTAATAAAAGGTTTATTTACAAGGGAAAAGGAAATAAGGAAAATGGACAACTCAGGGAGAAAATAGGGAAATAAAGTCTTTAATGCGTCCTACCTGATCCGACGACCTGGAAACCCAAAGTCACTCTCCGAGCTGGTCGGACGCTGCGAGCTGGCGGAGAGCCAAAATGGGGGACCCCTCCAAAGCCCACATGTCTGGCTTTATACCAACCTGGCTGCTTAACCCCACCCTCAGGTCCCAGCCACCTTCCCTTTGGTGGGGATGGGATTTGGAGTTCCCCGTGTCTTTGGCTTTGGCCTGGGGTGGGGGTGGCGTCCACAAAGCCTGTATGGAATTAGCTTTAGGACAGCCTTTCCCCCCTAACAGGTGGAGTGGCTGAGTGGACTCAGCAGGCCTGTCAGGTAACTTTGCTAACTATCAGTCTCTTTGCCAAAAGAGGAACTCCCCTCCTGCTTGTGTAGAACCTTCATTTCCAATCACTGGTTGTTTCTGTCACGAGTGGCGCATTTCCACTTGGGAACAAAAAGAAAAGTCTCCTGAGAAGAGCTGGCAGAGTGCAGTGAGGGAGGGACCAGTGACTGCTGAGCTTCCCTTTAATCCCTCCGGACAGGAGAGCAGGAGGATGGGGAAGGGAAGCCTCAAGGAGGTGGGGGCAACAGGAGGTGGGCTGGAGAGGAGCTGGTTGTTGAACTAGCAAAGCTGATAAAGAGTAACCATGACAACAGGCTGCTGGCGAGACTCTCAGGATTTGGGGCGGAGGGAGGGAGTGGAATGAGTTTGCTGGGTGTAAGCTCAGAGTTTTGGAAAATGCTATTTCTTCCCTAAGGGCTCTTAGCTGTTCCAGAAATCACCTAGTCACCGCAGTGACTGGGGCAAGAAAGGAGAGAGGGAGGCAGGAAGAATCAGCAGTGAGGTGGGGCCAGCTAATTCACAGGAGAGCAGTGGAGGATGGAGCTGGTTCAGCCTGGAGGTACAAAGAAGGCTGGAGCTCTAAGGCCTCAGTTGGGGTGTCCTCCTGTCCAATCCCATTTCATTACTTGCACTGAGGTAACAGGTGGCACAACTGTACGCCTTTTTGTTCTTTTTTTCTCAGGATAGCACATTTCTCACTTCTAAACATTGCAACATGTGTCTGTCAAGACTTTGAGGGCACTTTAAGTGTGTGTGTGTGTGTGTGTGTGTGTGTGTGTGTGTGTGTGTTTGTGAGAGTTCATATTAATGCAGCCTTTTCACCCAGCCCAGGCCAATAATTGGCTAAGAATTTCTTGGAAGTCTCTTACCCGTGCTCAGTTGCCAACCACTTCGACAATTCCTTGAGAATCTCTATCAATAACCGACCATGGAGACTAACACAGGAATGCAGTTGTTCCTTGCTGAGAAGCTCCGGGCACGTGAATGGGAAACATAAGAAATTGTGATTACAAACAAATGATGCTTTTGACATAAGTGTCTCCTCACCACATCAGTGCAATCTCGCCTGGGTCAGCACCAGCAGTGGAGGGGGCGGGCGGGGGCTGTGCCAGACCTTCCCTCTGCTCACCTCACCACAAAGGGCTTTGCAAACATGGCTTTGCGAGTCCACCTGCTTCCTTCTTCTCCAAGCACACGCCACCCTTGGGTCTCCTTCCTACAGACGTGAATGTTGGAGCCATCACTGGAATAAGCCATAGCCTGCGTGTAGAGAGACACCAGGGGGATGTGAGCCAGTGCCTTTTCCAGGGGCTCCTAGAACCACTGGTCATGCAGGTTTAGGGTTCACAGATGCCATTTATAAGCGTTTGTAATTTCGATTGGAGAACAGGTAGTAAGGTGGATTCATATCCGTTTCCAAATCCCATTCCCTTCCAATTAGTATGATCAGGCCAAGCTATTGGGGAAAGAAGGTTGTTTTGCACAAAGGGAAGTTAAAACAAGAGATACAGGACTTGAGCGCTTTGTTCCAAGCTGTCATAAAAAGCTGTGAAAAGAGAAAACATAAAGAGGACTGATTTCCCCAGGGTGCAGAGAGCACTCTCAGAGCTGGAAAGAGTTCGCACAATTCTCCACTTCTGCTAGAAGCCTGAAACTCCTTTTTGGAAAAATCGACATCTGCCAGGTGGATGCAATCACCTTGTTCTTCTCGGCTACGTTATAATTCATGGCCACGGAGGTTTGTCCGGCCGTGCTGCGGAGAGCGCCCAGCGCCTGGGGGACGGGCTCTGCGCAGAGATTTCCGGAGTCCAGGGAGACTTCCCAATCCAGTGACTTCAGTCTGGCTTCGTGTTGTTAGTGCCGGCAAGGGAAATGGAACCGTGAGGAGTGGAGGCAACTGGCTCAGTGCCCCCCTCTCCCCGGCCCCCAGGGAGGGAAAACAGGGAGACAGATTTAAAATGATTGAAGTGGCTCCCCTTCGGGTGGCAGCTGCACTGCGATAACTCAGGAGGACTTTGAGAGGGAATGGAGAAATGACTCTTCTCTGGAAGACGAAGGGAGCACATTGACTTGTTCACGGTGTCACTCCTTGCAAATACACCAGCTCGTCGTGCAGACACCCATGCACAGAGAGACCCCACACCTGTGCGCACACAGAACACACATGCCAGCTGAGACCCAAACCAGAAAGTCAGCTTGACCCATTCAGTTTGCTATTCCAGTAACTGCTTCCACAAGCATTTACTGAACATCGCATTGGGTGGCTGCTGTGCTAGACACGCCGGGGACACAAACACGAATAAGGTCTCGTTTCTACCCTCAAGGAGTTTGCAGTTAGTAGGCGAGAAAGACATAAACGTGTCGCGGTGCTACAGGGTGGTGGCTGCCACAACAGAGGGGTGGGTGGCAAGCTCCGGAAAGGGAGCATCTCGCTCCAGGGAGGCCGAGGACGGTGTCCTGCTCCGCTTGGGCCCTGTAGCGTGGACTGGGTGAACTCACGCAACGGAATTTTCTCACAGTGCTGGGGCCTGCACCTTCCAAGATTAAGGTATAAGCAGGTTCAGTTTCCGGTAAGGCCTCTCTTCCTCACTTGTAGACAGTCACTCTTTTGCTATGTCCTCACCCATTTTTTAGTGCCTGAATTCAGGGGGCGGGCTGAGTGGGGGCAGGGAAGAGGAGAGGTGGAAAGAGAGAGAACAAGCTCTGGTGTCTTACGGGGACACTAATCCTATTGGATTAAGGCCCCATCTTTAGGACCTCATTTAACCTTAATTACTCGCGTAAAGACCCCATCTCCAAAGACACACTGGGCAGGCGTGGGCTTCAGCATGTATGTGTGAGGAAGTGGCGGAGCACAAACTTCCTTCTATAACAGGAGCCTTCAAGGAGTGGATGACAGTTGAAATATACTTTCAAGGGTTCCCAGTCAAAGGGGAAGAGAGAATGCATTCTTGCTCCCCAAAAGATTAGGCAGGAAGTGTGAAACAGCTCTATGCATTTGGGAGACTACAAACCACCTGCATAGCTACATGGTAGACAGGGAAGTGTGGGGGTGTGCAAGGGGCATGGATTTACGTTGTGATAGATGTGGCATCACTAAGTAGTCTTAAGGTGGGAGCAATACCTGTAGCTTCTCTGGAAGCAGGAAGGCGCAGGTTGGGGGAGATGGTTATTCAGCCACCAGCCTGGGGGCAGCAGACAGGCAGGGAGGGCTGGCTGGATTCATGCCCCAAGGGGCCTAAGAGATGAAGAAGAGTGGAGTCTGAGGCTGAGTTCCAGGTTCTGGATTGAAGGCTTCCTTCTCAGAGGAAGTACAGGTGAGGGTCAGATGTGGAGGGACAGATGATGGGTACAGCTTTAGGTATTTTGAATGTGAGCTGCACCTTCGCAGCTGGTCAGGAGAGCAGTCTCAGACAGATGAAATGTTGGGGAGTAGCTCGAGCAGGGAAGGGGGTGACTTCTGGGGAAATCACATGGAAGAGGGCTGAACCCAGAATGCCAGCGAACACCAGCACTTACGGAAAGAAGAGAAGGCTGGGAAGGAGAAGGGATAGAAAAATAAGGAATGACTCATGCACGGAAGTCAAAGGAGGAAGTTGTGGGAAAGAGGAGGACTTGGTGACCAGTGTGGGCAGCTGCAGATGCGCTAAGTAACCGCAGTAGATCTGGGCCTTGCGGCAGAATTAGGGGCTTTGGTGACAGGTTTCCCCGGAGTGGGGAGGGGCAAAGCTTGAGGACCTCAGATTAAGGCATCCTTTAAATGTGGATTTGAAGAGTCAGAAGACAGCTTTGAGATGTTCCTTCCTAGGCCTTTGAGATGTTGTTAAGATCCTGTAGAATGTTTACTGCTAAATTCCAGGGAATAATACGTACAAAATGGAAATATATAAGCAAACAGGTTCCAGATACAGAAACACATGCAAATAAATGAAGCTCACTTGGTAGAGAGAGAAAGAAGGTAGGCTCGTCCCGGGGAGAAGTGGTGACAACTAAAAGGGGGTAAATATTAGGGCAAGAAAGGAAGGGGGTGAAGGGGTGAGGAGCAGCCCCGAGGAGCTGAGGCGTGAGCACTGTGAACACTGTATTAATCAACTCTTAAACATGTTCCATGTAATCTCTGAGGTAAATTCCTTTTAAAGTTAGAATTTGAATTTCAAAACCCCACCAGTCTAAATGCTCCGTCTTTTAGGTCCTAGAGATGGATGAAGTTAAATAGCTCGTTTAAGAACAGCACTGCATGGAAAATGACTAGGTTTACCCAGCTAAGTTTAGCATAGAAAGCTCTTTACTGGATGGCTTCTTTGTCAGCCTCAGGCTGGAGGAGTACAATTCCTTTTTATTTGGTGAATTCCTCAATTGGATTTTGTTTGCCGATCTTACTTTCTCACATTGTAAGGTTTTAATAAATCATTATAATCATTCCCTCATGTCTTGCAGAAATAACCTTGCTGATGGTTCCTGAAAGATTTCCCCCCACCTGAGTTTGCATCCTGGGGTTATTAGTGTAGCTTACAAATGAATCAGCAAAGGGTGAATCTCCCTCCTTTCCTAGCCGAGAACTCAGGCTTGATAACCAGGAGCCCCTGAGGTCACGCCTGGCTGGGAGGGCACAGCAGGTCTTGGCATATTATCTGCTGTCTGGATTATTGATGAGATGCTCTGCTTGGAAACAGGGCCGAGATCTCCTATCTGCTTGGTTATTAAGGCCTCTGCAGGAAGCAGGTTTATTGGTGATATATGTACCGCGGTGGCTTCTGTTGCATCCTCAGCTCCCTCCTTCTCTCTCAGTTACTGCTGATGACTCGTAAGGAGGAACTTCCCAGTTCGTGTCACTGGTGTGCTTGGCGATCACCTGGCTCCGCAGCGACCTGTCCTGAGGCTCTTCCACGACTGGGCGTCTTGGGCAGGGGTGGGGGCTGTCTTAGTCACCCATGTAGGAACCGGATCACGGCCCCTGTCCCTGCCTTCAAATATGCTTTCCCACTTGCTACTTTGCGGTGGCTCCCAAAACTGAGGGTTTGTGCAGTCTGTTTCTGTGATCCGGAAACAGGGCTTCCTCACAGTGATTGCAGGAGCTGGTGTCCCTTTAGTTTCCGTCTTCCCTGCCTGTATTCCCCAGGACATTTCTGAAGGCGGCATGGGATCAGGTGACCTTCTCAAGGCCTGCACAGCATT